GGACGGGAATCAGTAAAATCTGTGAAGGCGATTTGGACTGCCCCATCAGAGTTAAATTTTTTCCCTTGCAAGAAGTTGTCCAAATTTCGAAAAAAATGGTAATCTGTTGGAGCAAGGTCCGGGGAGTACGGAGGATGTCTTAGACATACCAATTGAAGCTCTTCTAATTTGGTAGCCGTCTGTTGTGCAGTGTGTGGTCTAGCGTTGTCGTGAAGTAGCAGTGGCGTGGAGCGATTGACCAGCCTAGGTTGTTTAGACGCTAGCTTTTCCATCATGGTTTGTAATTGCTGACAATAGACATCAGCCGTAATAGTCTGGCCAGATTTGAGAAAACTGCAATGAACAATACCGGCACTAGTCCACCAAACGCTTACAAGTAACTTTTTTGGGGTTAATTTAAGCTTGGGGCAGGATTTGGCTGGCTAGCCAGGATCCAACCATTGCGCTGAGCGCTTCCGATTATTGTAAAGAATCCATTTTTCATCACAGGTAATGATTCGGTTTAAAATACCTTCATTATTGTGCCGGTTCAGTAATGTAACGCAGCAGTCGACGCGCGTTTGCCGGTTTGCTTCAGTCAATTCGTGAGGTACCCATCTTTCAAGCTTTTTAATCTTCCCAATTTGCTTCAAGTGAATTAAAACAGTTTTATCACTAACACCGCAGCCTGCAGTTAACTCGGACGTGGTTTGCGATGGATCTGCTTCCACAATAGCCTTCAATACTTCATTATCAACTTGGGTCTCAGGCCGTCTACGGGGCTTGTTCTGCAGGTCGAAATTTCCAGAACGAAAACGTTGGAACCAAAAACGAACTGTGTTTTCTTTTGCAACTTGGCCGCCATACACATCATTCACGGTATATAGTGCCACGGCGCAACTCGTACTCGTAAATAATGGGATACTTTAAGTTTTCCATTTTGTAAAATGAGTGACGCAAACAGAAAAAAACAGAAGAAAAAACATATGAATGACGGTCATCGAAGCACAAATACATGAGTAAATAGCTGTCCAAATTTGAATTTGGAATTCCTTACCAAAGAGGAGAACATCGTGATTAAAGTGGCCAGTACGAAATACGCCAATTTCATATGTAAGGACCTAATATTATAAAGACGAAAGATTTGTATGTAAGTATGTTTGTAACGAATTGGCTCAAGAAGTACTGGAACGATTTAAAAAATTCTTGCACCATTTGAATGCTACATTATCGCTGATTAATATAGGGTATTTTAATTGCAAGAAAAAAATAAGGATCCTATTAAAACTACAATAATGTCACCCAAGGTGTAAAAAAAATGCCTATAAAATATCTTTCATCGCATGCGCTGCGAAAACTATTGATGTTAGAACAAAAAATATTCCACAGTATTAAAGAATTGTATATCAATATCTACAAAAAATGTTTAAAAAATTAATGTCCACCCATGCGAAGCCAGGACGGGCCGCTAGTCTCTCAATAATAAATTGATATGATATCTCAAAATTAAATATAAAGAGTTTTGGTTTATAAATAAGTATAAACCAAAATATATATATATATATATTTTTGTCTACTTGAGCCGAGTGGTATTGCAAGGGACGATGGCAAGAGACCGGACGGTATGAGCTTGATTCCATGGAAGATGGGCCGGGTACTGGTATGGGATGCAACCTGTTCAGACACGCTGGCCTCTTCCCATCTACATGGAACCAACAACAGAGCTGGTGCGGCTTGTGAAGCACCTGAAAAAGCTAAAGCATGCAAATACAGGGGTCTAGGCTCAGAATATGATTTTGTCCCATTCGGTGTCGAGACCCTTGGTCCGTGGGGTCCGAGCGCGTTAAGGCTGCTTAGAGAAATATCAAAAAGGTTAGTCGACATCACAGGAGACCGAAGTTCTGGTAGCTACCTCGGACAAAGAATTAGTCTAGCTATTCAAAGGGGGAACGCTGCCAGTATCTTCGGAACCTTGACTAAAGGGACTCCTTTTAATAATATATTTTAGTTAAATATATTAAAAGGAGTTAAATAAGACATTTACAGAATAAAATTGGCATGTTAATCAGTATTATTATGTTAAATAAACATTAAGTAATTTATGTATACTATTATTACATACGCTAGCGTTTCATTGTGTTGACTGAGGTGTCAACAGCCAAAGCAATGGCTTTTATTTCCCCGGAGTTTTGATTCTCTTCATTTTGGTGTGAAAAGTTTCCTAATTAAAGATTAGAAAATGCATTTTATGAATATTGCTTTAGATATATAGAAAGTCATCGCAATGGATAACGAAATACTCTCTAATTAAGCTTTGTTTGATAACTATAATTAAGTGTTTTTAATGTTCAAATTTTTATTATTTTCATACTATATTTAAAATAAATATACTCTGTCTTTCACAAACTACGGATTACTTTTTTTAAAAACAGCTGCCCTGCGATTCTGTAAGTCACTTTTCAAACTCACACAGCGGTTTTCGCATCGGCGGTCGCTCTCAAATCAGTCGTGAAGCAGTCATTTTATGATTTGGCATTCTGATAAACAATAAACTACAAGCTCTCACTTTTCTCTCGCTTTAGCTATGAAAGCTATGAAAGCTTACTTAATTTTATTAAGCTTAACAATATTGGAATTATTTTCTATGTATCTATGAAATTATCTATTCCATAGATTAATGTTTTTTAAAACTCTAATAAAGTGTATAGATTAATATACAGTGTTAACACTTTATAACGAATTTCAAGGGACCGAGCATTTCTTTTCGTTATAGAGAATTTTCGTTATAGCGGGAGAAGAGAAAAAAAAATCAAATTTAACCAATTACAATAATTTATATCTATATGTATTTTGAAATAAAATTGCCGGATAATGTATATGTAACTAGATTAGTTGGTCAGTCAGTTGATATAATATTAATAGAAGTAAAATAAGTATGAAGATGCAAAGCCTGATACACCTGCGATTAGGTCTACGACATGCTTTCATGTCGGTGTCCGAATCAAATTTTCAGAGTTAAAAATCGCTGAACCACTGGACAAACACTACATATCAATACCATTTTCCTCTTAATGTCATAATAAATTTTCTTAACCTACATAGTAATAATAAAAAGAAAATTAAAACAAATTTAAAAAGTACGGTCCCTGTGGCAGTGTACCCTTAATTCTGGCATTTCCTCACTGTATTGCGATACTTATTCGTTGAGCGAGGAAAGCACCAGCTTTGGGGTCACTAGTACTATCGATCAGGCGCCAATCTTTAATCTTTAATTAGCGCCTGTGCACTTGAACCCCACGGCCCAAGATTCTCTACTCCAAAGGGAACAACATCGAAGTTGGAGTAAAGACATTTATATTTGAGCCGTTTATCATAATAATACATTAAGACTTTGAAATGTACTGTTAAATTTTTTGTTAAAAATATTTTTTCCAAAATTCGCTCACTAAATCATTACGTTCCAACAATAACTTCTCCCGATAAACCGGGAAACAAATAGGAGAATCCAATAAGGCGAATGGAACGAATACAACACGTTAGTACGTTGCCAGCGCTAACGACCAATGCACGTGATTAATTTAGGTTGTGCTTTTGAAGGAAATTGTTAATGTGTCGGCTTGTTTTGTACGTGATGTACTTTCCTAGTAATGTTATGTTATAAACTACATATTATTATAAGTTGTAAATTAATTCGACGTATATTAAAAATACAATTTGTACACAAGCATATATTACAAATTCGAGGTTTATCAATATAAAAATGCTTGGAAACATCCTGGTTCCGTTCCAAAGACACTCAAACTCGAAATCAACTGGTTGCGAATCTATCGGTTTATATTTGCTGTAATTTTTTTGTTTAATTAAATCAACTATGACGTAGCTCACACACTGTTTGACTGTACGTTAATTATTTATTTTTCTATAAAGAATAATGTAAAATCAATAATTGCAATATTTGTAAATATGTGAGCACCATCTACATAATAATTTAGCTGCTGCATTGATTCTTTATAGCAGTCTTGACATATAATTATCAAATCAACGTATACAAAATATTGTAAAAACTATTTTAAAAGAGTAACTATGGAGTTTTTTGCCCATTCTTCTTCATATGCAACTACCTTATGGAACAAGAGTATTTTTTTTTTAATATTTATAACTTGTAATTTTGACTTTCAAAAGTGCCTATTAAATAGACCCAATTGAAATAAATGATTTGACTTGACGTCCTGGTAGCCAGAAACTATGTATAATGATTCCACAACACTCTTATAAACCTAGTTTATAATAATAAATAAGAGATGTACTGTTGTACTGTGCAGTTCTGTCTTTCTTTAGTTACTTAAGCCATCAATGATTTCTTGAGTGATTGAACAATAATTTATATTATATATTATAGATAATTTATGATCATGGAGTTTGGTTTACATTAAAAGTTCCAAGTTTAAAAATATTTCTCCCGCTACGTACAACTTCACACATCATATCTCACAAAACTTTTCCAATTATTTCCATGTAAAACGAAATTTACGGAACGGTAAACGTATGTTGCAAAGGATTTCGGCTCGTTTAAATTTTAAATTAAAATTATGACATTTTTTAATGACACTAATATATTAATAAAATAAAGCTCTATTTCTTCTCGTTTCTCTAGATTTTTTAAATTAAATAAAAGTTAAATTATTTTGTATGTAACTAATTGAAACTGTAGTTATATTAAACAATTAACTTTTGTAAAATAGGTACTAAATTCCTTACGACGCGACGCGATGTTTCCTGCACGTCCTACACTTCGCGCTTCATTCCGACTTCCCACTTGTAACGTTACAATCTCGTCTCCTATTAATATTTTTTATATCATAGACTATTTTCCAACGTGTTATAATAAAATAAAACTAAATAGGTTTTATATATTTTTTATAAGTTTAAAATTAGAACTCTGAAGGCAACTGAAGTCTGAAAAGTTTCTGCCCTACGTCAGTACACGGCGCGCGGCCGAAAGATAAACACGTGATGACAAAATGCGGACGCTTCTCTTGATATACTTCGCGACGTTAGTGCAAAGTGATATTAAGGGTGAAGTGAAGTTAAGGCACGCAAGGACCTTGATAAGGCATGGCCGTTCGAGGGTGCACTTTGCACGCCTTCACACAAGGTCGCGGGACCTTGTTCCTCAAGTTATAGAAGCTGAAATTACAAGTGAATTAGGTAAGTTAATTTTTTTCCCTTAGAAAAATACTTATTACTTACTCTTTGATTAGACGCCTGTCATTATTGTGGGTTAAAACCAGAGTTTTTAAACTATCGATAAAAAAGCGCGTTCTTAAAAATTATTTAAGTTCCTGTCGCGTTTTGAAATTTGAGCAGCTCTGTAATTATTGTTTTAAAAGTTTATAAGATTATATAGTTGGTTTTAATATATATTAAAAGAAAATACACCATGTTTTTACACCGAATCTTCGGTTTTGAAGTAGTTCAAATACAATCAGGATTTTAATAAAGGCGCGGCAATATCTTAACGAAAAATCACATAAAATTGTTTTTGTTAAATGGAAACAAAATCTTTAGTTTTCATGATCAAAATTCTTGCTTATATTAGCGTCAAGAGTATTGCAATATAAAATTGTATAACAATGTGATAATATTATTGTTATTCTCAATGAAAAGACTAAATTATGTACATTTTATTTTTTAATTATTAATTTATCTTAATAACCTAAAACGGAATACCCTACTAAAAATAAACAAAAATATTGAAGCTCTCTTTAACACATCCAATTGTCATGCATATCAAATTCAAAAATATTTCATATAATTTATTACAAATTCAAACACTATGTTGCTCTGAAATTAATTATTTAGATTTTTTAAAACATAATAAAAAATTAAATTAACAAATATCATATGTACACTAGGGTGGGCCAAAAAAAATAAATCTAGTTATTCGTACAGGCACAGCGTCAAAAAGGTGCTAAATGGCGTAAATTATTGATACGTAAAGTTGAAATATAATTATTTTAAATTTTATTGCCTCCGGATTGAGTTAGAATTTATTAAAAATTGTAATTTTTGAGCCCATGTTGCGATTTTTTTCTTCACTTTATTTAAATCTTTATTCGCGCTTATTTGTTTTTAAAACGAATAGTGCATCTTTTGTTTTGTTTAGTTCGAGGACAAAAGTGTAAAGAGGGGTTGGTACCAGTGTGGTGTGGTGTTAGATTTGACGAGAAACGCACGACTTATAGCAAAGACAATCTATGTCTGCACGCATTACGTAATTGAGTGCAGTCACTTTTTAACGACTTATTAAGAATGAAACGTACGAAAAGATGTTGGAATTATCCGTTATTTGGTAGTCTATATGATTTGAAAGACAACATAATATTGCCCACATATGAATATGTGATGAATTTGTATGGGTGAAACCGACACAAGCTAAAATTCGGGAGATAAAGAAATTGAGGGTAGTGTGATTGCAAAACTAATAGAAATATGGGCGAAATGTTCTTTTCCTACAGTTGAACCTAAAAAATGAAGGAAATGCTGGAATCATATCATTTAAACTGCAAAAATTTGCTAAAATCTCTCCCAAAAAACCTAGATTTAAGATCGAAGATTTTCGTCATGGAATGACGTCTCGACTTGCAAGTGTCGAGATTTGCCCCTTTTTGGGGTAAAAAGTACCTGCAAGAAAACACAGCTTCATAGTAGATCGATGATCCGCGAGAAAAATGGTAATTCAAGAGATGTCGACACAACAAAACAGATGACAAAATTAGTTATTTCAACATATTGACGGCAGTACGTCTGAGCCCAAAACATTTTCAGAGGAATTAGTAAGCAGCTTAAAATCTGTGAGAGGGTTCCATAACTCAGTTTACTCCTATTCCTACGAACCTACTGGAGCTTTCTGTTAGTACAGACCAGAACTACTTGTACAGAATAGTCGAAGCAGTTTCAACAGGCACATTTCCTAGCAATTTATCGAACAAATCACCAGGCATAATGTCTCATGCCCCATGGTTAACCAACGAGACAATAAGATTTTGCGTCTGTATGCTAAAGTAGAGACTCCTTCTGAAAATCTCTTTAAACGAATGTGATGAATGAAACACTCTTGCAACGTAAGCTGTTAAGCTTTACGCGCCGATATGTTTTTCCATAAAAACTCTTTCAAGCTGTAATGATGGATCGAGGCCTATCTATAAACTTATTGAGTAAACGCAATATGCACCAACAGCATTGAAGGCTGTTATTGACACACCCAGAAAATTCTTGAATTGTTAACAGACCCCAGCGGAAAATTCGCGAATTAGCTGCACGTCGAATTTTGAAAGTTCAGCTCATGTTAGATCAGCAATATTAAAACCACTGTGTCGTTTTCACTTAACAAAGATAAAATTTGACGCAATAGCATACTACGACCTTTTGAATTGGCAGAAAAGTTTTACTGAACCACCGCTATTAAAATCTGTTACCGAAAAAAAAATCTATTATTTATTGAGCAGAAAGGAGCAGGAGAACCGGCTTTACTACGTCTATCTTGTCACACTCAAGCAGTAGAAAGAGCCGTTAAAGCCGTGACAGAAGTTTCAGCCACTTTATGCGATAAAAGATCAAGAGAGGGATTCATAGACGCCCAGCTAGATTGAAGGAAAGCGATGCGAAAATTCGACAGCAAGAAGGATTTTAACGGCACCTAAACATTTCAATTAAATAATAATTTAGCTAATGAGAATTGTTATTACTCTATTTTAATATTCTTCTATTAATAAACAAAAGATTCTTATGATTTTCGGTCTTTATATTAAAAACAAAAGATCTTTGCTTGTCAATATGCAATGGCCCTTTTTTACTTTATTTCTTTAATTTTCACATGACTCCGGAGGCAGAAGATTAATTCCGAATGCTATCAAACTCCGTATTCTATTTACAGTCACCATTTAGCACCTTTTAGTCACTGTGCTACTTTAAAAACCAAACTTTTTTTTCTTCATACATATTTGACCCACCCTAATGTACACCATACATGCATTATACGTTTCTTTATGCTAATGCCATTTGCAATTAGAAATATTTTATTTATTTAATTCCTTATTTATTAAGTAAAGTTATTGATATTTATAAACCTTAAATCACCGAAACATTTTAGCTAAATTTAGCTCTCTTTTAATTTTGAAGAACAAAGGGTTCCTTTTGATCTTTATAACATTTTAAGACGGTACAAAATAATATTAACACAAATTTAAATTTATTATTGGTATAATATTTTTTGTGGTTTATTATTTTTAACGCTTAATATATTATATGTTTGTACTTATTATGGTTCATAGGTAAAATTAATTTAGTAATCAAAATTACAATGTACTTTATCCATTCTGTATATTAAATACAAAATAAATAAAATCTAATGTCATTCAGAAAAAAGAGATTTGTACATCATTAAAAAGTAAGTTTGGCGTAACACATATTAACAAAGTAATAAAAAAAATATAAGGACCTAATTAGTTTAAATGAAAAATTAATTCAGATCAAACTACCTTTAATTTACTGTATTAGTAACATTAATTGTAATGTTTGCTATAAAGAAATAAATACTTTTTTATCTTAACATTGAATATAACTTTGTCTTTTATTATTATTATTTGAATTTTGAATTAAAAAAAATCTTTCAAAAGTTCACTTTTATATAAAGTACCTACGAATCTTTATAATGTTAAATCAAAAATATCTTATTACCAAAATAGCTTTAAAACCCGTAGCGTAAAAGCTTCATTGGTATGTATTTAAACTGAATATATTGAATGAAGATGCTTGATTGTGACCTAATTTGGTCTGTTTTAATCAAAAGCGAAAATCACGACATAAGAAAGAAATTTGAGCACTGAAACTTGAGACTGGATTCTTTTTATCTTACCTTTTAAAAAGATTTTCAGTATTCGCAAAGTTATCTTGAAAACATCATCTTTTATTCCAAAGCCTTTATTTTCTAATTTGCGTTTATCATATATTTTAACGTAGGTAATTTGTAATAACAATGTTATGATTTTTTAAATGACGCAAAAATAATAAACTTCAATTTTCGAAGAGTTTCGAAGCTATCAATAAAATACCGCGTTGTTTAAATTAATTTAAAACCTTTTAGTCTGCAACGTTTAAAAATTTTACATGTTACGGTTGTTTTAAAGTGTATTAAAAAAACCTACGAAATGAGACAAAACATTTACCTATTCAATGTGTATTGTTGAGTAAGAGAGTTAATATATAAGTTAGGAGTTTGTTAAGCCGTCACGGAAACTGTTCATTATAAAGAATAAACCCTTTATGGGTTTTGGATAATGCCTTTTATCCTAATTGTATGAAGTTGCAGGGTAGTTTTGTTTGACACAGTTGAGAAGTTTACATTTACTAGCTGTGCTCTGCGGTTCCACCCAAATCGATTCGATCCTAGCACGTTCCTAAAGCTTATCTCGGTTAATAGACTTTTAAATGCAATTATAATATTTTTGTAAGACATCATGTGGTAGCTGTTGTGTAGTTTTTTATAAAAGTAGTACATCACTTTGCTCAATATACTTCTATCTATCTTTGGTGTTTTATCATACATTGGGTTACACTTTCGTAATTTCATACAGAACGCAAAACATTCTACAGCCTTTGTTCATCAGGGAAAACGTAGGGTTTTTACGGTGAAAGAATATTTCAAATCAGTCCTGAAGTTTTGGAGCCTATTTAATGCAAACAATCAAATCTTGCCTAGATTTGATTTGATCGTCTTAATATAAGTGTAGATAGAGTTACCTCAAACAAACTCTAATTGATTAATATACTCTAATCGATTTATGTAAAGATGTTATTTCGCGCAGAAACCGCGTTAATAAAATAAATAATATTATATTTTCACGTGCGTGGAAATTTGATAGATTAGCTTTCTTCGTTCACGGGTATGACCACAGAAATGTGGCATTATTTGTGTTTAAAGGCACACTATGATGCATCGGTTACACTATATTTTTTATTTACATACTTGTAAACAAAATTTAGAGTTTCAACCTATTTCTAACGATAATTGTTTTATTAATAAATATGTATGTTGTAGCTTGTAGAAAAATGACCATCTTAGGTAGACGGTTTTTTTATGGAACAAGGGGCAAACGGGCAGAAGGCTCATCTGATGTTAGTAGTAGTGTAGTGATACCCTTGAACACTCTTAATACCAGAGTGCTTGCGAGTGCATGCTTGAAGGACGCTAAGTCGAATTCGTTCAGAAATATTTCAGGGGGCAGCTGGTTCAACTGCCTTAATAATCAATGTTTATGTAATTTTCACTAAAATTTTCTTATCTCTTTAAAACCTTGACTGTAGCTATTTTTCAATTATTAGCAGTTTTAAGATAGATATGATTCCACTAATTATGATACCAACTTCATCAATATTTAACAATTAACATATGCGTGCTTTGCTTGATAACTTATTTTAACAGAAATGTTCCGCCTATTTCTCGGGGTATAAATCTATTTGATAAATCACGAATTAGGCTTATAATTACATTAGTTATATATATATTTTATATAAAAATTACTTCAGCCTTACTTGCTTGAAAAGTAAGGCTAGACTAGAATGTGTATCTACATCTTCTACCGCATTTACCATGGAGAGTGTTCAGAGAAGTTGTTTGGATTAATTTCATCATCGGACGTCGAGGCCGAATACGAAATTCTACCCATATCACCTCGACGTCCGTCGTTCCACAACTGTTATTAAGGCAACTTTTGCCGCGCACCACCATGTGGAACCAATTGCCCACTAAATTATTCGAACCAATTCACTTCGACTTAGTGTATTTTAAGAAAAGAGCGTACCAATTCTTAAAAGGCTGGCAACGCACTCGCGAGCCCACTTACCATCAGATGAGCCGCCTGCCCGCTTGCCCCCTTTTCTCTAAAATAAAAATTATACTATTGGATAGAGTCTTTAATTAGCTTTTGCTTGAAGTAATTTTGTACATTACTACTACATATTTGACTCTTAATAAATTTTTGCGTTGATCAGCTCATACGGCGCTTTCACGCCGTGACTGCGTAACAGCTCAATATCAATCACACTGCAACCACGCAGACACAAGTATCCTCACGAACGGACAACGACGTTTTGTCGAGTACTAATTTCCGTTGCAACGCTCCCTGCGTTTGACATTTGAGCTAAGAGCAGTCTAATTTATGTGATCATATGCAGCCTTCAGTATAACAAATGCATTTTCATACTGATATATTAATAAATGCTAAGTTATATTTGCATACAAAACATTCCTTCATGTTACAAACTATTTTTATTTCGCAGCTAAACCAAATCATTTGACGCCTCGGGGAGTTCATGCAAGCAACTTGATGCTTACACGGAAACTACAGTCTAAAACTTTCCTTTATGTTGGTTAAAAAGGTTTACTTTATATTTATTTTATTTCTGGTCTCAAACATCACACATGTTAAAATAACGGGCCTTCAAATACTTATGAAAATATGTTATACAAAGGATATACACGTGAAAATGACATGTGAACTTAAGAACGCGCAGCGCTACCAGATCCATTCAACTTCCTCACAATCGAGTAGCCCGCAATATCGCAGTACACTTTCCGAGGGGACTTTTTGTATCGAAGAAGTCGCATAGGTCCGCCAAGTTTCCGCGAATATACAATGTAAAGACATACATAGCAATAAGTAGCAATAAGTAGCAATATAACAAAACAAAAGAAAACAATAATAATATTAAATAATTAACAATGCAAGGGTGCTAAAACGACTCGGTCTCTTTGGAGTTGGTGAAAATGTTTTATTCTGGTTTTTGGGAGATTTTGAATACAACTAAAAACCCAAACCTAAAAACAATTTGTATGAATCAAAACTTAGCGACTAAAAAGAGTGGCGGAAAGTTTCTTGCCAGTACTTCTTGCCTGCTCTACGCCCTGCTAGTAAATGTAAATTTACAATTAATTTAACTCCGTTTTTGACGTTCATAAGTGTACTTGTTTACCTATATGAATAAAGCTATTTTAAGTTTGAGTTTAAAAGTTATGAGTGTGTCTTAGCACTCCAATGGGTCCAGACTAATTTTAGTATCTGCTTCATTTATTAATTTCTTTAAAGGCCTTTTTTGTTCGGAACAGTAAAAAATATTCATACTTAGCCAGTATGTTGATACTGCTTATAACGGTATAATTCTGAGTATTAGGTAACAATTAAATAAATATATACAACATACGGAAGTCACACTTAGCGCTAAGTTTCCACCCTGAATCTTAACTTTTTAGCACATTCTTAAACGTGACCATCTTAAACAATACTGTGTGATATCTTCAGTATGCGACTGAAGTGTAGTATTTCTTTCTACAATTATTAATTTTAATATTTTCTTGCATTTCTAATTGCAAAGTGTCACGAGTGTGATAGGGATAGAATACCTACTTGCTAATCGAGGCTAATGGTAATGTCTAAAAGAATCAAAGTCGCTTCCAGGCATCGCTATCTTTTAAACTAAACGATTAATGCAATTTTATCAATAGATTGAACCGAAATTGTATAGTTTAATTTCACATATAACCACTATTTAAGCCGTAACTTGTTTAATCTATATGAATATGCTTCAAAGGAGTATTAAGGATATCCATAGGGCTAAATAACCTGCAACATGAGCACACCCCACGTACTTACCCTAAATTACACACCATAACACAACACACCCGAATTAGATACACTAAAATGTATTTAATCATTGATTTTTTTCTTTCCTAAGTTTTGTGTATTTGTATTCCATCTTCCAATTAACTTAAGTTAACTATTAACAATTTTACATAATAAAAATTGTGTTTTGTTATATTATAATTTAAGTTAGCCGTAGAAGTACGAAATGAATAAATAATAATTATGAAAAATATCAGTATAATGTTTAATAATAATGATTTTCGATCTATATAATACTGTTAACACTGACTATGCCATTTAAGATACAATCTGTTTAATTTTGATAATATTTTTTGTAACGCAAACGCAAGATAAATAAAACTGTAACTTTATAAAAAACATAATAGATATTTAATTTCTTTTATAATAATATATTCAGATAGTTATTCTTTAAGTTATAAAATACACCCAGTATTTTCCAGTACCTGATAAGCACATGATAATTCCAACGTAGCGCGATGTTATTTAACCATTATTGGATATTAAGGGCGTAGATTTGATTAGCAAAAATAACAAATATCTCCGTCAAGTCATATAAATCGCCAAGGTTTATTTACAAAATTTCAGCTTTTTAAGTATGACAACCGCTGTCTTCGCCGTATTCTGGGCAGGAACTGTTCCGAAAAGATCTCTAACGAGCAACTTTGGGAGCGCTGCCGAGAAACCCCGATCAGCCAGCAGATTAAGCGAAGCAAATGGAAATGGATGGGCCATACACTCCGAAAGGATCCCAATCATAATATTCCCAAGCAAGCGCTTGATTGGAACCCGCAAGGAAAGCCGAAGCGTGGCCGTCCCAAGCAAACCTGGCGCCGTACAGTTGCAGATGAGATAAAGAAAGCCGGAAAGACTTAGAGGTGAAATACGAGGCTCAAGACTGAACGCGATGGAGACTCTCTGTGGACGCCCTCTGACCCATCTAGGGGTTATAGGACATTGAGTCAAGATGACAGATTAATAAACGTATTTCAACTGATATTAGACATAATGATTTAAAAGTTTGTGTTTAACTATGTTGCCCTACGTAGCATAAATATAATTGCAGGCATATATACTCTTATTCATTCATAAACCAATTATTTAAATACAGTAAAGAACTATTTCAATACTCGTTATTATCTATTAGCCTTCAACTCTATGGTGGTTTTAATAATATTGAAACCTATCTTTACGAAGACGCCTATTCAAGAATTCAATAACAAAAATGCCTACCTTCGTTGATTTGATATTGAAGACCTATTATCCAATTTCTCGCGGAAAATTAATTAAGATAACATTTCATCTAAGAAATGTTAGAATAGTCGAAGAATGAAAATAGTTAAGTGGTTTTGAGTTAAAGATGCAGGGGAAAATTAGCACTAAGTGTGACTTCCGTATGTCGTATCTTAATATATATATATCTTGTGTGCGTGTGTATGTGACTGAACTTCTCTCAAACGACTGGACCGATTTTGATGAAATTTTTTGTGTGTGTTCAAGGGGATCTGGGAATGGTTTAGATTCACAAATCAGCCCGGCAGATGGCACTGCAGTCGGTACTTTCATACTTTGCTTAATATCCTAATCGCTTTAAATATCATGCAGGACAACGTCTGTGGGGTCCACTAGTATATATATATATATTTAATTAACCCTGTCTATATACCTATGTCAGCATAGACTCTCAATTTACCCTAATGGTTAGTGTTATATGGCATAGCCTATATTGCTGTGCTTTTTCATTACTTTATATATTTATTTACTAAGTCAAATCAAGTAGAGTCAAAAATCATTTATTCATATAGGTAACATAATATACACTTATGAACGTCTAAAAAAAATAAACATTAAATGCTTCTAATTTTACATTTACTGCCAGTTCTCAAACCAAGGGCGTAGAACGGAAGAGAATAACTGGCAATAAACTCTCCGCCACTCTTTTTAATCGACAAGTTTTTTTTTTACACAACGTTTGTAAGGAGCTGCAACCATTACACCATGTTCCACATGACATCCTAAGCAATAGCAAAATAAAAGCAAAATAAATTAAAAACAAATATTTGTCCTCTATCAGCAGGAGGCATGGTGAAATAGGAACACTCTCGTGGGAACAACACGCTAATACATAGTCGAAATAACTAACATCACCGCATACACGAATTCAAGTACGACTAGTCACCACAAGTAGCACCCGTTCACGAGTATGACGCATGGCCAGCCATCGGCCCCCTCGCCATATTTTAGGGAGAGAGACAACCCGACGCATGGACGCCGCCACAAGCACTAGTAGCTTATCTCTCGATGCCTCCTCCAAATGTCGCCATGTTAATCTATCCGTCTAACCTGGTTATGGCGTCCTCCCACCAACTCACCTGTCTTTCCTAGCACCTCTTTCTATCCCTAAACATATAAGCACGCACAAAAAGAAGTCGTTTTTTGTAAGTACTTGTAAACTATGGACTGTCTTTGATCGAATATTCATACTTTTAACTCAAATATTATTTATAAGAGATAAAGTTTTTCAACTATTTCTCACAGTGGTTGGAAGGGATCGCTCGAAATCTATAAGGTCTGCCAGTTGCCCTCCATTTTACCTAATTATGTAAATTGTATTATATTTCTGTACATGCAGAGAAGTGTCAATAAAAAAATAAAATAAAATAAATCAATATTTTAACCTTTTATGAAATTGTTCCGCGTGACTTCGTTTTCCGGAATCCGGAAACATCTCCCAGTAAGATAGAAACCTTTGTTATATCATAACCATTGTGATTTACAAGCCATGAATAAACAAATAAAGTAATGTATTTCTCGTGTCTTTATTTTGCGAATGAAATGGAAACGTGCTAACGTTGTATCGTAATCGTTCGTAGCTTATAAGCACTCAAGCTTAACTAAGAAAATAACCTTGTAATTACTCGCATGAAACCTTTGCCTTGAGGCAAACATTAACTTAAAGTAGTGCTGCTACGATAGCAAAACGAATCCAATTTTCAAATTATTACGAACTAGCATTTTAAACCTTGCATTTTAAAAATAACAGCTTTTATTCGTTACTACACATACCATGGCTTAATTCGGTGACATTTAAGCTTTCTTTAATAAGTTTACATATTACAAAATTAGAAAATCATTGCTATGCATTTACAAACTTTGTGTTAAATGTCAGATCTATTCTCTTAAAATTCTATACGTTAATTTTAAGTTCCTCTGTTTTTAACGCTTTATTAGTAAAATAAATCAATCAGTGGCGCTACAACCTTTTTAGCCCTAGGCTTCAGATGTCTCTGTAGCTGTTTAATGATTATTTGTCAATCTATTAGGCAAGTAGGTGATCCGCCTCCTGTGCCTGATACACGCTTCGGTATGCTCACGATGTTTTCCTTCAGCGTTCGAGCGAATGTTATATATTCACATAGACAACCGTTGGTGCACAGACGGGGATC